GGAACACTGTAGCAAGCCGGAGACAGAGATGTTGGTCAGGGAGCAAGGTGGTGCATTGAAGTGGCAGGCAACAAGTAGTTCAGGGTCTTTTTTGCGAGTAGAACGTAGATGTTCTGTGAAGTGATCGCCAAGTCTACGCTTCGTTTCCCCAATGTGAAGGAGACCACATTGTGAGCAGCGAATGCAGTAGACTAGATTCTTGGAAGTGCAGGTGAAGTGTTGCTTCACCTGAAAGGTATGTTTGGGCCCTTGGATTCTGGGGAGGGAGGAAGTAAATGGGCAGGTGTTGCACCTTCACCGGTTACAGGGAAAGGTGACTTGGGCCTGTGGGGAGGTGTTGGGGGTGAAGGAAGTGTGGACCAGGGTATCCCAGAGGGAACGATCCCTGCGGAAGGCGGACAAGGGAGGGGAGGGGAATATGTGTCTGGTGTTGGCATCTTGCTGGAGGTGGCGGAAATGGCATCTGATGATCTTCTGGATGTGGATGCTGGTGGGATAGTAGGTGAGGATAAGGGGAACCCTATCGCTGTTGCGGGAGGGAAGAGAAGGGGTGAGGGCAGAAGTGCAGGAGATGGGCCGGACCGGATTGAGGGCCCCGTCGACAACAGAACTGGGGAATCCTCGGTTGAGGAAGAATGTGGACATTTCAGAGGCTCCCTTGTCGAAGTTGGCCTCATCTGAACATATGCGATGGAGACAGAGGAACTGAGAGAATAGAGGATAGAGTCTTTACAGGAAGTGGGGTGTGAGGATGTATAGTCCAGGTAGCTGTGGGAGTCGGTGGGTTTGTAATGGATATTAGTGGCCAGTCTAACCCCAGAAATGGAAACAGAAATGTCGAGGAAAGGAAGGAGGAGTCAGAGATAGACCAGGTGAAGGTGAGGGCAGGGTGGAAATTGAAGGCGAAATTGATGAAGTTTTCCAATTCTAGACGAGAGAGGGAAGCAGCACTGATGATATCATCGATATATCGGAGAAAGAGTTGTGGGTGGAGGCTGGAATAGGACTGGAACAAGGAATGTTCCACGTACCCCATGAAGAGATAGGCATAACTAGGGCCCATGCGGGTACCCATGGCAACCCCTCTTACCTGAAGAAAATGAGAGGAGTTGAATGAGAAGTTGTTGAGGGTGAGGACATGATCAGCCAAGTGGAGGAGGATGGTGATGGGTGGGAATGGTTCAGGTCTTTGCTCCAGGAAGAAGCGGAGAGCCCTAAGACCCTCCTGGTGGGGAATGGATGTGTAAAGGGATTGCACATCCATAGTAAAGAGGAGGTGGCTGGAGCCAGTAAACTGGAAACTTTGAAACCAGCGTAAGGCGTCAGATGAATCATGGATGTATGTGGGTAGGGATTGGACCGGGGTGGGGGAGAAGACTGAGTCAAGGTAGGAAGAGATGAGTTCTGTGGGGCAGGAGCAGGCTGAAACAATGGGTCTACCTGGACAGTCCTGTTTGTGGATTTTTGGCAGGAGGTAGAAACAAGCTGTGCGGGGTTGGGGGACTATTAGCTTGGAAGCGGATTGGGGGAGATCACCAGATGAAATGAGATCAGTAACCATAGTGGATACAATGGCCTGATGTGCCATGTTGGGGTTATGTGGCAGGGGAAGGTAGGAGGAGGTATCTGAGAGCTGGCGCTCAGCCTCTGCAAGGTAGAGATCAGTACTCCAGACAACAACAGCACCACTCTTATCGGCAGGCTTGATGACAAAGTCAGGGTTAGATCTGAGTGCACGGAGGGCTCTCAGCAGGGCTGTCTGCTTCCTCCTGGAGCAAAGACCTGAACCATCCCCACCCACCACCATCCTCCTCCGCTTGGCTGAGCTTGTCCTCACCCTCAACAACTTCTCTTTCAACTCCTCTCATTTTCTTCAGGTAAGAGGGGTTGCCATGGGTACCCGCATGGGCCCTAGTTATGCCTGTCCCTTCATGGGGTACGTGGAACATTCCTTGTTCCAGTCCTATTCCAGCCCCCACCCACAACTCTTTCTCCGATATATCGATGATATCATCGGTGCTGCTTCCCTCTCTCGTCTAGAGTTGGAAAACTTCATCAACTTCGCCTCCAATTTCCACCCTGCCCTCACCTTCACCTGGTCTATCTCTGACTCCTCCTTCCTTTCCTCGACATTTCTGTTTCCATTTCTGGGGTTAGACTGGCCACTAATATCCATTACAAACCCACCGACTCCCACAGCTACCTGGACCATACATCCTCACACCCCACTTCCTGTAAAGACTCTATCCTCTATTCTCTCAGTTCCTCCGTCTCTGTCGCATATGTTCAGATGAGGCCAACTTCGACAAGGGAGCCTCTGAAATGTCCACATTCTTCCTCAGCCGAGGATTCCCCAGTTCTGTTGTCGACAGGGCCCTCAATCGGGTCCGACCCATCTCCCGCACTTCTGCCCTCACCCCTTCTCTTCCCTCCCGCAACAACGATAGGGTTCCCCTTATCCTCACCTACTATCCCACCAGCATCCACATCTCGAAGATCATCATATGCCATTTCCGCCACATCCAGCAAGATGCCACCACCAGACACATATTCCCCTCCCCTCCCTTGTCCGCCTTCCGCAGGGACCGTTCCTTCCGGGACACCCTGGTCCACACTTCCTTCACCCCCAACACCTCCCCACAGGCCTACGGCACCTTCCCCTGTAACCGGTGAAGGTGCAACACCTGCCCATTTACTTCCTCCCTCCCCAGAATCCAAGGGCCCAAACATACCTTTCAGGTGAAGCAACACTTCACCTGCACATCCAAGAATCTAGTCTACTGCATTCGCTGCTGACAATGTGGTCTCCTTCACATTGGTGAAATGAAACGTAGACTTGGCGACCGCTTCACAGAACATCTACGTTCTACTCGCAAAAAAGACCCTGAACTACCTGTTCCTGCCACTTCAATGCACCACCTTGTTCCCTGGCCAACATCTCTGTCTCCGGCTTGCTACAGTGTTCCAGTGAAGCCCAACGCAAGCTGGAGGAACAACACCTCATTTTCTGCTTGGGGACTCTACAACCCTCCGGACTCAATATTGAGTTCAATAACTTTAGGGCCTAAACTCTCCCATGTCCATGCCCCCCACCCCACACACCAGGCCTTGTTACCACATAGCCTGCCACTACACATCCCCTGTTGTTAGTCACTAACAGTCCCCATTAACAACTCTTCACCCTCCCAGCCTGATCGTTAGCAACTCCTTTGTCTGTCCAACTGTCTTTCTCTCTCTTTGGGCTCTATCCTATTTTTTACTCCCTACCCCACCCACCTCCCTATTTTCTGCATATAAACTGACGTTTTCCCAGCCACCATCAGTTCTGAGGAAGGGTCACTGGACCCGAAACGTTAATTCTGTTTTCTCCTCCACAGATGTTGCCAGACCTGCTGAGCTTTTCCAGCAACTTTGTTTTTGTTCCTTATTTACTGCATCCGCAGTTCTTTTGGTTTTTATTGGGTAGAGGTGAAGGTTGTTTTTCAGGCTGGAGGTCAGTGACTGGTGGTGTTCCACAGGGATCTGCACTGGGACTTCTGCTGTTTGTGCTGTTGTATAAATGACTTGGATGAAAATGTAGATAGGTGGGTTAGTAAGCTTGCAGAAGATACAAAGATTCACGTAGTTGTGGATAGTGTAGAAGTTTGTTAAAGGATACAGCGAGATATAGATCAGTTGCAGATATGGACAGAGAAATGGCAGATGGAGTTTAATCCGTGTAAATGTGAGGTGCTGCACTTTGGGAGATCTAGTGTTAAGGAAAAGTATACAGTTAATGGCAGGACCCAGAACTGCACTGATGTACAGAGGGATCTTGGGGTTCAAGTCCATAGCTCCCTGAAAGTAGCCACACAAGTAGATAGGGTGGTAAAGAAGGTGTATGGCAAGTTTGCCTTTATTGGTCAGGGAATTGAGTACAAGAGTCAAGATATCATGTTGTAGTTTTATAAGAGACAACAAGGCATAGAGCTGGATGAACACAGCAGGTCAAGCAGCATCATAGGAGCAGGAAGGCTGACGTTTCAGGCCTAGACCCATTTCTGAAGAAGGGTCTAGGCCCGAAACGTCAGTCTTCCTCTCCTATGATGCTGCAAGGCCTGCTGTGTTCATCCAGCTGTACGCCTTGTTGTCTCAGATTCTCCAGCATCTGCAGTTCCTACTATCTCTGATGTAGTTTTATAAGACTTTGGTTAGGCCACACATAGAGTATTACATTCATTTCTGGTAACCACATTACAGGAAGGGTATGGAGACTTTGGAGAGGGTGCAGAAGAGATTTACCAGGATGCTGCCTCAATTGGAGGGTATAACCTATAAGGAGAGGCTCGAAAAACTCAGGTTGTTTTCTCTGGAGTGGCGGAGGCTGAGGGGAGACTTGATAAAAGTCTGTAAAACTATGAGATGCACAGATAGGGTGGACGGTCAAAATCTTTATCCCAGAGTTGAAATGTCTAATACTAGGGGGCATGCATTTAAGGTGAGAGGGGGACAGTTCAAAGGAGATGTGAGGGGCAAGTTTTTTTACACAGAGAGTGGTAGGAGTGTGGAATGCGCTGCCGGGGTGCTGGTAGAGGCAGATAGGATAGGGGCACTTTAAAGGGTTTTTAAATAAGCACATGGATATGCAAGGAATGGTGGAATATTGACTAAGGGCAGGCAGAAGGGATTAGTTTCATTTGGCGTCATGTTCAGCACAACATTGTGGGCCAAAGGGCCCGTTCCTGTAATGTACCGTTCTATAGTGGTTACATGATCACCATTAGATCAGCTTTTCGGTTCAGAATTTTCTTTAATTAAGTTCCAATTCACCCAATGCCATAGTGGGATTTGAACCCATGTCACCAGAACATTAGCCTGAGGTTCTAGATTACTAGTCCATAATTCTGCTCCATCACCAGCCCTTGCTGAGCCAATTAAGTGTTCTCAGCATTTGAGCCCTTCTGCTGTAAATGGTAATTTACATTTTCTCTCAAAAGCAAATTGTTAATTGATAGCCATACCAGTTTGTTCCCAGCAAACACAGCTATTTTGGTGGAGTTGGACATGAGGCAGATATGGTGCTCCCCTTGAGAGTGTGACTGAAATGTAAAACGACTCTCCGACCCGTACAATTTATGCAACAAAACCTGTTTACAAGAAAACAAGGAACGTGAATTACTTAGCCATGATACACTTTTCTGCAGTTATTTTATTATACATTGACTGAAAGACATTCAAGTTGAAAGCAAACATACCAGCCTGAATTTTCTCTATCATTACAAAAATGGTGGTGGGAGCCTGTATCCATAAGTCCGGCACAGACCTACAGTTTTTGCGGCGGGGTGTGTGAGTGGCATGGGTTTCAGTGTGGCCATCCACGACTCTACCTGCTCAAGCTGATTTGCTGTTCAATTGGCACGTCCAAAATGTAACCTGTGCCCATTAGACTTCGAAGGATGAAGTCCAAAGCTGGCTTATAAGAATGCCAGAAATTGTGATAAGCCTGAGGTTGGCAGCAATTTATAACCCAGTGAAGGATGGCAAAGAAATTGATAAGGAAACAGAGAATGCAAGGTAACAAGGAACATGAATGTGGACCATAAAAGCTTCTATCAATATGTGAAAACAAAAATAATGAGCAAAATTCAAAGAATGAAGAGTGATCTCATTAAAACTTACAAAATTATTGCAGGGCATGATGTTTCTGCTGGCCTGTTTCTGCAGGCCATTTAAGAGTGAAGTGAGGACAAATTACTTCATTCAGAGAGTGGTGAAGCTTTGGACTTCACACCCCAGAGGACTGCCAAAAGTCAATCATTGAGAAACTTTTCAAATATGGGGGTGGATGCAGTGTGGTGGACATAGGGCCATAGGTTGGCATAAGGATGTGAGGGGAATAGGGGACATATCTTTGAAATAAAAGCCGACATTTCTTTCTTCCCTATCACATGTTGAAAATGGTTACTAGGTTTTGTGATTCATGTGTGAGGAATCTTACCTTATGCTGCAGCTTTTGGTAATTTTTCTCCATTAAATAATATTCATCTCATCTATTCTTCATTCCAGTGTGCATAGCCTCACTGTTTCTCACATCATATTCAATCTGCCAAGTTTTTCCCCATTCATTTAACCTGTCTATATCTCTCTGTAGACTCTTTGTGTCATCCTCATGACTTGCCTTCTCACCTATTTTCTGTCATCTGCAAACCTGGCCATTGTACATTTACTTCCCTCAATCAAGGGATAATATATTGTAAATATTTGTGGTCCTAGCAGTGGGACTCCACTAGGTACAGTTTTGCCATCTTGAAACTGCCCCCCTTATCCTAACGCTCTGTCTTCCATTGTTTAACAATCTTTTATCCATGATAATATGCTACCTCCAGCACTATGGACTTTTATCTTATTACTTGATTAGATTTGATTTGTTTTATTTATTGTCATGTGCACCTAAATACAGTGAAAAGATTTGTTTACAAGCAGTACAAGCAGATCATAGTAAGCTGGGACATACAGATCATAGGGTGAAAAAAGAATCTAAAAAAACCAAAAAAAATTTTTTAAATTAAGCAGGAGAATTTATTATGTGCAATATCTTACCATTTTCATAAGATTTATTTAACCATTAGCCATGTCTGTTGTGCAATAATGTATTAAAAATTCATAAGATTATATATTTTTGTACCTGCCCATCTGGACCTTTGACATTCACAAACATCCCCAAACCTGGAGCAGAAGGAAGAAAATTTTGTGTGGCCAAATCCAACGATTGGATTTTGTAATGTCCTAAACAGAAGGAGAGTCCAGGTAATTATTAATTGCTGTCGTGTTAATCACTACCAATTATAGAGAGTGAACTGAGGCAAGAACTCTGACTGTGAAAATGAAGCTGCAGTGTAAATTGCTACAATTCGTAGTCTGCAAAATTGTGAACCTCCTATTTCCTCACTCGCCCATTTATCTTGTTTTTATAATGTAAGTGTTGCATCACTTAACCAATTTTGTAAACAACTTTTGAATCAGAGATAGTAGGAACTGCAGATGCTGGAGAATCCGAGACAACAAGGTGCAGAGCTGGATGAACACAGCAGGCCAAGCAGCATCATAGGAGCAGAAAGGCTGACGTTTCGGGCCTAAACCCTTCATCAGA